CTCGAAGGACCACGTAGAATTGTCCCGAAGGACCGCGTAGAACCCTCACTTGGTATGTCAATTATACTATCAGCTCTCATATCATATACTATGGGCTTTACCATTTACATCATATCTTATAATTATTCACATAGTCAAGTAATCACATAGGTCATGTCTCATAGCTTAGACCATAATCTATAAATACATAGATCCTATCACATAACTTATATCTTATACTCATTTATCCACATAGTTCATATAACCCTAGACTAACATATAATACTAACTCATGTATAACATTGCAAGTAATATAAATATGCATGTACTCAAATACACACAGAAACCTATTAATCACATTTCAGTATTCATGCAATCATGAAAGCAAAACATGATAAACAACTCATCGCGAGTCTAGTTTCCATATAATTATTTGTCATAGTAATATGTACTCACCTTATCCTCACTTAGTCTAATCAATCCTATAACTCTTTATCTCTCTCTGATCGATCTTAACTCGTCGACTATTCCGAAACTATTTATGTTTGATATCTACAAAAATATACATTCGATACGAATATCATAATTCTAAGCATTATGAATCGATCATTAATAACCTAAGCTAAAAGAATTACTTAATTCAAATTTTCACTTTGAATAATATCAGTACCCAAGGTATAGTACCGATACTCAAAGTAAAAATAAATATTGGTTAGGGTATCGATATTGGATTAATAATATCTATACCATAAGCTAAAGTTGGTAAATTATCCATGGAGTATCGATACTAAAGGGGTAGCATCGATACCAAGGGTACCGATACCATTATGCAGTATCGATACCATTTTTAGAGATGGAATTCTAGAATCGGAAAAGGGTATCGATCCTGAAGTATAATATCGATACCATAGTAAGGAAGTATCAGTACTGTACCTTGGGTATTGATATTATTCAAAGTGAAAATTTGAATTAAGTAATTCTTTTAGCTTAGGTTTTAACGATCGATTCATCATGCTTAGAATTCTGATATTCGTATCGAATGTATATTTGTGTAGATAACGAACATAAGCAAGTTCCGGAATAGTCAATGAGTTAAGATCGATCAAGAGAGAGAAAGTTATAGGAGTTGATTGAACTAAGTGAGGCTAAGGTGAGTGTATATACTATGACATATAATTATATGGAAACTAGACTCGCGATGAGTCTGTTTATCATGTTTTGCTTTCAAGATTGCATGAATACTAAATGTGATTAATATGGTTTCTATGTGTTTTGATTACTTGCATATTATATATGTTACTTTCAATTTTATACATGAGTTATTATTGTATGTTAGTCTAGGTGTTATAAACTATGTGGATAAATGAGTATAAGATATAAGTTGCGTAGGATTTACTCGTTTATATGAATTAATGGTATAAGCTATGAGACATGACCTATGTGGTACTTGACTATGTGAAATAAGTTATAAGATTTGATGTAAATGGTAAGCCCATAGTTTATGATATGAGAGCTGAGGGTATAATTGACATGCCAAGAGTCGAGGTTCTACGCAGTCCTTCGGGACAATTCTACGTGGTATTTTGGGACATTTCTACTCAGTCCTTCGGGACATATATGTGGTCCTTCGGGACATTCTATGTGGCACTTCGGTTCAAATTTCTACGCGGCACTTCGGTGCATTTTATACGAGCTGTGGTGACAGCATTGGTGCACAACCTCAATGCACTTACATACCTTAAGTTTTCAGTAATGTACCAAGGGCTAAGAAAATATATACATGAAATAACATTGAATCATGTGATACGTATTATTTGTTAATGTATATTCATATATTCTTGTTAAGTAGATATATGATGATTTTTATTACACTCCGAATTATAGTATTGCATGTTTCATGATTTCATTATTGTATTAATGCTTCACGTGACTTAGCGTGTGAGTGTTTCACACGTAGGTTCAAAGAACAAGGAGATCCAAGTTAGGACAAGGGGGCAAGACAATATTTATCGACTGAAGATCATATCAGAATTAATTTAAGCATATGTACTTTGTTATATGTTATTTTGTTGGTATGTAAATTAAATATGCTTTGATCGGTTTTGTAAACCTTTTTGGTTGTAATTATGTAAAGTATTTACATTTTATTTTAATGAAAGATGATTTTCAACTATCTTGAAAAAGTAAACGCTTTAAAAAAACAATATGACACTTCGAATTCGTATCCGGGTCGGATACGGTTAGGGGTGTTACACCACTTGCCTTTCAAAATTTCTTTTCTACCCCTAAAATAATTCATGTATCCCTTTTATATTTTAGTTTATCATATTACAAATTTAATATTAAATTAAAACTAAATAGCAAAAGATAGGGGTGAAGTAGCTATGGATGTAATCGATGTCCTTGGAGGCAAGTTGTTTAAACATATATGCAAAGAGCGGGGAGGATATGGATATGGTAATCTTTACCCTTGGCCATCTCCCTTTCCGTCCCTAATCCCACTACATAAAACAGATGTGAAAATGTTCCTCGACTTGTTTTGCTCTTTTATTTTTGCTGGGGAATATCTGGTGCTCGGCAACATTTTTCTAAAATTCATCAGTCCAGGTCTCACTTGTGTTTTTAATGGCATCACTGATATCCCCATTGATGTTTGACATGCAATTATAGAGCAAAGATGAATTGTAGTCTGCACAACAAGATATTCTTCTGCAATCGGTCCAGATTATTCGAAAGCATAGTGCTCAATTGGGGAGTGCCTCATTCCAAGGTACACCCAGTGATAAGAGTCCGAGCCGTAGGAACTACGAAATCACCCGACCGACGCCTGAGGTATCAGAGGTTTGTGGGATGTCCATTTCTTTTTTCATTTTCATCTAGAAGTCATAAATCATGGAATTCAATGGAAATAGGAAGTAGGAACATGTTTAGTTTAAAGTGAGTTTTTCACATGGCTTTTGACTTGGTGAAATGTATTTTGCCCAACTGAGCAAATGGTTAAATCAAACTATTATCAGACTTTTCTTTTCTTTTTTTTTTTTGCCCATGCAGCTGATTTTTGTTAGGAATTTATTTTCATTTTTAAGTGAAAGCATTTGAAAATCTATAATGGTTTCATTTAATGCATTGAGTGTATTGTGTTATTTTTTGGTAAACTACACATTTAGTCACTCAAAGTAACGTGTTATCATTCAACTTGAAAAGTTTTCAAACTTATCATCTAATTTCGTTCTTTGGTCATCCGATTATTAGTAGTATAATAACAGTAGCAAAACAGAGTTTTGGAAAGTTTTATTTATGAAATTAGTCTAATATCTCACCCAAAGTCGTTAGACTGTTGTTGGCCATTATTTGTAACTTGACTAATTCTAAAATTTTATCTTTTCTCCTTTTTATCATCTTAGTTTGTTTTTCTTGAAATCGATAAAACTTGAAATCATAATTTTAATATCTTAGTTTGTAGAAGTTTGTTCCACAAATTTCACTATCAATATTTGGATTTGGAAGAAAATTTTTGACTTCAATAAATCAAGAGAGTCCAAAAGTTGACGTTGAGAGAAAAAATCCCAAAGTTATTTTCTTGCACAAGTTTACTCAAAAAATTAAATAATATTATACAATTAATTATCGAATGATCATTTTTAAAATTAAATAACAAAATTAAAAAATTTAAAGTTGGATCATCAAAACATTTATATAATACTATAAATGTATTGTGTTATTTTATCAAAATTTATACCAATCTAAAATCCCTTACTTAGCACGGACTTACATTTCTATCTATATGCAGAGATTTTTACGCAGAGATTTATTTGCGGGGATTACTTTCCATTACAAACGTGCATATGTAGACTGCATATGAAGACTGTTCAACTATGTATTTATTTATTTATTTATACATGCATTGTATTTATCTTTATTTTTTAATTTTCTGACTGCCGGAGGTCTTCCACGGAAGCTGCTCTCAACATGGCTTTGGGGGCAGCCTACTACCCTTCCTCCCCCTTACCCTATTGCATATGAGAATAGGGTTTTGTTGTTGTTATAAAATCCCTTACCATATGGGCACAAATTTCTCGATCAATGGAAAAAAAGTAAAGAGATAAGACATACATGTGGTGTGGAGACTATGAAACAAAAACTGCAATGGCATTATTTTCTCCTTGATGAATTTGATTAAAGTCAGCTGAAAAATCCCGGTCTTATTTAGTTGCTTCGAGACCGTAGGCACAGGGTCATTGCTTCGTGTTCGTCTTCTCAGGCTCAGCAGCTGCTTCGGTTGCCGCAGATGCTTCGTCGTCTGAACCCAACTTTTACAACTCCTTTGTGAAAGCCTCAGCGTCTTTGGGATTCATTTTGTATGGGGTGTGGGAATGACCATTTTTTACTTATTCCTTGTATTCTAAGAGAGCTTTATTGATGACGTCTCCAACTCGTGCATACTGCTTGCAGAACTTCGGAGTAACCTGCAGGATGTGGGGCAAACGTTTTAGATAATATTTATTTTATACGAAAGGAAAGAATATGCTATCCGGAAGTGGCAATAGTTCAGTTAACCTTTGCATGATGCGGGTGTTGCAGAATTCCAAGTAGATCATGGTAAACGAGAACCTGTATCAATGGTTTGATCAAAATTAATGGCAATTATTATTCAAACACACAACGGAAATGCTATCATCTCTTTCTTGTGAAGCAAATAAATGAAAGATCAAAAGTGAAGGAACATGATCACATAGCTTCATGACATGAAAATAAAGCTTTTTTTAGTCTCTTCAAAACAAATATCATTACATATAATGAACAAGCATCGCTGATATTATACAACTATATTACTCGAACTTAGAATACAATGCATATATTCAACTCTTCCAAAGTTTTTCAATGCGAGAGGGGTTATATCCACATACCCATAGCTAGATATGTGTAGGACACGAGTGTCGGATAAGAAAAATGAATAGTCAGAGAAACATACTCTTCCAAAGTTTTTCAATGCGAGAGGGGTTATATCCACATACCCATAGCTAGATATGTGTAGGACACGAGTGTCGGATAAGAAAATGAATAGTCAGAGAAACATAGCTTATAAGGAACCTTTTTAATTAATGTGGAGGAAGTGATGTTAAGTGTTGAAAGATAACGTGCATGGTGAGCTAAGGTGCACGTAAATAGTCTGCTCTCAGTTGTATGTAAGCTAAACCTAAGTTGTTAGGTTGTTAGTCCAGTAGTTAGGTTGTTAAGGTGACGGTTTTCAGCCTTTGTAAGCTATAAAGCTACCGTACTTTGTTGAATATTTCAGTGGAAATAAAATGATGTAGGTTCATCCTTGAGTTTCTAATATGGTATCTTTTGCCAACCATTCTGGGCCTTTTCTTTATTGTGATTTCTGACGTGTTGTGCTCTGCCTCATTCTCGTCGTTCGTCATGTTTACAAATAAGAAAGTAAATGTTGTCTTGGACGAGACGAACTTTCTCTTCTGGAAGCAACAGATCCTTCTCACGATCCGTAGTCACTGTCTCGAGAGGCTTCTCAATGGCACGATGTTAGTTCCGCCTAAGTTTATCGTTGATGAGAATGGAGCATCTGTTGTTAATGAAGCATTTAAAGATTTCATGGCACAGACAGTGCTCTTGCCTTACAACTTCTGTCAACGATTAGTGCTCTTCTTCTGCCTCAGTTTGTTGGTACTGAGTTCGCAACGGCTGTTTGGCGCACTGTTGTACAGTTCTTTGCCAACAGGTCTACGACAACGGTCATGAAATTGCACTATAAGCTTCAGTCATTGAGAAAAGGTGACGATTCGATGTGTGTGTATCTCACTCGAATAAAGAAGGTGTGTGATGCTCTTACGTTGTGTGGCAGTCCTGTGTCGCATGTCGAGCACATTGTTAATGTTCTGAAAGGCTTGCCAAGAGAATATCAATCGTTTATGGTTGTGATAACCACTAGTCCAGATACGCTTTCTCTTGATCGGATTTACTCCATGCTCATTGATACAGAGACACAGTTGACTTGTTTTAATTCTCATGCTAAGAATTTTTGATGAGTGCTAACATTGTTCAGGGAAATGTACACACCAGCTCTACAACATCAGATAGTCTCGTGATTACAAACAACAACATCCTGCCTCGATGCCTGGTGGACGTTTTGGTGGTAGAGGTCGAGCCTGTTTGTAGTGTCAACTGTGTGGTAAGAATGGACCTCAGTTGATAGATGTTGGTATCGATTTGATCATGACTTTGCAGGTGTTCTAGCAAATAATGCTCAACCACGATCCAAGGGTAAATTGAGTAGTGTTAACTATGTGAGTCTTGACAATGTTGGTTATGTGTGTTGTGCCAGAAAGCATGGTGTTGTCTCGATGCATGCTGGTGGTGTGTCTCAGGCTAATATGGTCTCGTATCGTCTCCTCGTGCTCAGTGGGTTGTTGATTCGGGTGCTACACATCATGTGACTCCTGATGCTTCCAATATCGCTCACACTACTGATCTAGATGGTCCAGGTAATCTTTTGGTTGGGAATGGAGTTTCTCTTAATGTAAATATGGTTGGTATATCTTTATTGTGCTCGTCATCATCCTCGCGAGCTTTGTTACTTACAGAGTTGTTACATGTGCCTCAAATCAATAAACATCTTCTTTCGGTGTGAAAACTTGCTAGGGATAATCACATATTTTTTTAGTTTCATGCTGATGGGTGCTGCATTCGTGATGAGGTGGCGGACAAGCTTCTACTTTAAGGAAATCAGCAATGTGGTCTTTATACATTTGCATTGGATAATAGTTCTAGTATTGTAATAAATTAGAGGTTCTTTTGGCTGATGCCTCTTGTAATGCCCTTGATTTGTGGCATAGAAGATTAGGACATCCAACTTTTTCTACTTTAAAATCTGTTTGTAAGACCATTGTTGTTACCATTTCAGATAATGCAAATCATACTTGTGTTGCTTGTTGTTTGGGTAAAAGTCACAAGTTACCCTTTATTGAGTCTACCACAGTCTATGATGCCTTTTCAACTTGTGTTTGCTAATCTTTGGGGACCTTCAACTGAGCCCTCTGTTGGGTATCGATACTATATTCTTTTGTGGATGCGTGTACTAGACATACATGGGTGTATTTCTTGAAGAAAAAATCACAGACAATTGTTGTATTTCGCCTACTTCAAAGTATGGTCAAGACTCAATTCCTTATCCATCAAAGCAATGTAAAGTGACTGGGGGGAGTACAGAAACTGCTCGAATGAGTTAGCTCAGGAAAGTGTTTTGCATAGGGCCACTTGCCCTCATACTATGAGTAAAATGGGATTGTTGAGTGTAAGCACCGATATTTAATCGAGTTGGCACTAGTGCTGTTAGCTCAAGCCTCTCTTCCAATTCATTTTTGATCATATGCAATAGCTACTGCTACATCTAGTGAACAGGTTGCCAACCAAGGTGCTAGGCAATATTTCTCTGTTTGAGAAGTTGTTTGCAAAGAAACCATACTGCAAGGTCCTCCGCGTGTTTGGTTGTAGGTGTTTCCCGCATTTTCGAGTGTTTCAACCACACTAGTTGATGCCCCGGTCTCAAGTGTGCACGTTTTGGGTTACAGTCCTCAACATTGAGGATTTCAGTGCCTTGACCCCACTGGACGTGTATTTATTAGCAGACATGTCAAGTGTGATGAATTTGTTTTTCCTTTTGCAGAGACAAAGCCAACTACAGGTTATCGTGCTCAGCTCTCTTCTCGGTCAATAACACTTGAGATTGCTGCTCAGCGCCACAACATGTGTCCTCAAGTAGTAATGTCACATGCAACTACTAGTGCCACCTCACATGCAGATTCTGTGTTGGGTGATGATGGTCATGATTCTTTGATGGCAGGTGCTGACTTGGGCAATAATGTAGGCATTCCTTCTCTGTCTACTGATGTTTCCTTCTCGAATGCTGATCCAATCATCAGTGGTGCGAACAATGAAGCTGCTCAGTCTGTTGGTGAAGCTTCAGTTGAAGAGTTCAGTGAAAATTTACCTATCACTAATAATCATCCCATGATTTAACGAAGTAAGTGTGGTCTTCAAGCCGAGAGTGTTTGTCAGTGAATTCGACATGACTATACCTACTGATATTCATCAAGCCATGAAATCTAGTAACTAGGAAGTTGTTGTTCAAAATGAATTAGCAGCTCTACAACATAATGGTACGTGATCGTTGATGTCACTACCAGCTGGACGAATAACATTTGGTTGCAAATGATTGTTCAAGTTAAAGCAAAATCTTGATGGCAGGGTTAATCGTTACAAAGCTCGTCCTGTTGTAAAGGGTTTTCACAAGTGCCCGGACAATATTTTAAAGAAACCTTCTGTCCGATGGTCAAATTTCCACTTTGAATGTTGTTTTGTCTCTTGCTATCACAAACAAGTGGTCTTTGAGGCATGTAGATGTTAACAATGCCTTCTTACATGGTAACTTAATGAGGATGTCTTCATGCAGCAACCACCTGGGTTCGAACAATTTATTGCATATGGCACCAAGCTTGTTTGCAAACTCCAGAAGGCTCTTTACGGACTGCGTCAAGCACCAAAGAATTGGCATACTAAGCTGAAGGATAGCCTTGTGCAGATAGTATTTCGCTCATCGAAAGCTGATGTCTCACTGTTTATTTCTCATGCTCAAAGAGTCTCTACAAATGTACTTGTCTATGTAGATGACATTCTAGTTACAGGGCAGTCTGTTAAGATTGAACGAGTGGTTCATTCACTTCGCGATAATTTTTCCTTAAAAGATCTTGGTGACTTATAATATTTTTTTGGAATTGAGGTTCATCGATGGTGATTCCTTGGTTCTCAATCAGAAGAATTTATTTTAGAGTTATTGGAGAAGACATGCATTTCAAAGGCTACACCAACCGCCACCCCTATGGTTTTCAATAACAATATCTGTAGTGATGAAGGTGAACTACTAGAAAATGCTCGAGAATTTCGAAGCATAGTTGGTACATTGTTATATATCTGTCATACAAGACCAGCTATCATTTACAATGTGAGCAAGGTAGCTCAATTCATGCATGAACCTCGAGAGTGTTATTTGTTGGCTGCCAAACGCATCTTACGTTACCTGGCAGGAACTATGGAGTTTGGATTGGTGTTTTCACCATCCAAGAAATCAATGTGTGTAGTGGCCTTTGCTGATGCTGGCAGGGGTTGTTGATGATCGACGATCCATGTCAGGCCATTATGTTCTAGTTGGTGGTAACATGGTGTCATGGAATGCTAAGAAGCAAAAGGTTGTCTCAAGGTCAACCATGGAGGCGAAATATCAAAGCCTAGCTTATGCAGCTAAAGAGGTTGCTTGGGTTGATGCACTTTTAACTAATTTGGGTGTGAAACGACATGAGAAGCCTATCATCTGGTGCGACAATATCAGTGCGATTGCGTTGAGTGCAAATCCAGTTTATCATGCTCAGTCCAAGCATGTGGATTTAGATGTTCACTTTGTAAGGGAAAAATTGATGTCAATCAGTTATGTGTTAGCTATGTTCCTGTTCATCAAATTGTAGATGGGCTAACAAAACCATTGACCAAAACAATGTTTACCACGTTTCATGCAAGGGTAAATGTGAGTTTACTGTAAGGAGAATAAGTAGGGAGAATGTTGAAAGATAACGTGCATGGTGAACTAAGGTGCACGTAAATAGTGTGCTCTCAGTTGTATGTAAGCTAAACCTAAGGTTGTTAGGTTGTTAGTCCAATAGTTAGGTTGTAAGGTGACGGTTTTCAGCCTTTTTTATAGAAATAGGAGGTCTCATTAAAAACCTCCCTCATAGTAGTCCTTTACCCGTAAGGCAAGTACCGACTAGCAGAATGAGGAAAAGAGTACCTCATTATATTAATGATAAACCAGTTACATAAGACTTAAACACACTCATATTACACTTGTATTCTAAAACATACACAACAAGTAGAACAAAGCTTAAAATCACCCAATTCCCTCCTTTACTAGCTTATCGGTCTCGCAATTACAACATCTAGGTTTTCAGCTTTTGTAAGCTATAAAGCTATTGTACTTATGTTGTATATTTCAGTGGAAAAAAATGATGTTTTGAGGTTCATCCTTTTATAATATTGAGTTTCTGCAAACCTAAGCTTTTCTCTACGATATTTACGAGAGCATATCGTATTTACATAAATAACCTGATATTGCATAAACCTAAGCTTTTCTGCATGACAACAAAACCACATAACTCGATGAGTATGACTCTGTTTTCATGGTCGAATTTCAGCTATTGATTCATATCTAAGAAAAACCTTGAAGTCCATAGTATACTACTAGAAGTTGCTATGCAAGCAATTTTATACCAAAGCACATATAATGATAGAACAAAATTAACATGTCCACTGCAAAAAGGCCCAGCTTCAATGCCAATTGTGGGAAATTTGAAGAACACATTCCATAACAACCGAAAAACATCGGCTTCCTGCAAAGCCATTGCAGTCTCTACAACCTGCATAAACCAAACTCAAGATAAACATACACAAATAATCAAAAGGTTATCCAAATGAAAAGAGGAATGAAAGATACCTTGACTGCACTAGCAACATTTTTTCCTTGTGGCCGGAATCCGCCGAGTACGCTAATTGTCAGTAGAGTAAGTCTGATGTGTCCGATAACCGCGATCCCAGCCTCGACGATGGCTTTTGCAGCGGAGATCCTCGAAGGGAACCCTCCTTCTAATTTGATAGCATCCATCTTTAAGACCCTAACAGCCGTATCAACTTCTCATTAATAATCCAAACGGCAATTACATCACTATCAATATTCATCCAAGCAATGTTTCATCATCGATATTTGCCCTTAAAATGTAAGAGAAATCATTCAAGCAATGCTTCTTCATCAATACCAACTAATATAATGCGGTGCACAAGGGAATTTTTTTTGTTCATGGAGGTAATACCTGATGTTGCTGGTCTCATAGGTCCCAAATGGCAAGTCACCAACGAGTAATGATCGCGTGGCGCCGCGAGCGACTGAACGACAATGGACTAGCATTTCGTCGAGTGAGATAGGGAAAGTTAGAGCTGAGCAATGAAACCGAGAAAACCGAAAACGAAACGAACCGAGTAAAACGGTTCGGTTCGGCATTACGGTTTGGTTTAAAGTCTCAATTCTTTTGATTCGATTCGGGTTTCCATATGGAACCCATTTGTTTCATATTGAACCGAATAGGTAATTTTTTAAAAAAAATTATAGTTTCAAGTGATTTTTTCATTGAAAAACCGAACCGAAAAACCCGAACTATAAAAAAAGCCTAACCGAACCGAAAAAACCAGTTTCGATTTTTTCAGTTTTTAACCATTTGGTTTCGGTTTCGGTTTAAATTTTGAAAAAACCGTTTATTTCGGTTCGGTTCAATTTTGGTAAAAAACCGAATCGAACCGAATACACCCCTAGGGAGAGTGGTGTCATTGCCGTGAATGACCATGGAAGCATAGTCTCCGACCATGCAGATAACGATCCCGGCGGTATCGAGGTGGACCGCCGATAGGTAGTCATAGGCTGTAACAACGGCGATGGGCTCGCCTTTCTTGTATTTTTGCTTCAGCTGGTTAAGGGTCATTCTCTGATTGGGCGTTTGAGGCTTTGGACCGCCGTAGACGGTGTTTTCAGGTACGTTGCTCAGGCGGCGAATAAGGCGGCTCTGGAGATTGCAGAAGCCTTGGACAACTTGTGTAAAAGCGACATTTTTGTTGGAAGTATTTTGATAACAGAAGAGAAGGAAAAAATTATCAATGTGCTTAAATTTTGGGAGGTGAAATTAGAATTTGTTGATTTGCGTAAGTTAGTTTATTGGAGAAATTGGAAAATGTAAAGTGAAGTTGCAAATAAGGCTGCCAATGATGGCGGCGCCACCTGCACTCCACCAACTTGGCACCGCCTCTTTTACAAGATTACTCATAAACATATAAAAATATAAAGGTTAAACTACAAAATTGATCACTTTTATTTTAGTTTTCTAATTTTTTATCATTAGTTTTAAAATATGTTGTTTTAATCACTTATATTATTGATATGTTATATTTATTTATTAATATGTTACTATGTTAGTTCTAATTAATTGATGATGATGTGACATATTAATGAAAAATATTTCTAAATTAATTACAAAATTATAATTTTTTCATAATATAGAAAATCTAAATATTTTTATTATATTAGAGTGGTTATAAGTGATAGTATTTTTAAAGACTCTCAATCATTCGATAATGAATACTCAAATATGAATTAATTTAGTAAAATAATGATAATGATAATGAAAAAATCCATATATATAATATTACTACCTGGCTATATATTTTCTGCTTTGCTTTTCGTTTCCAGTAATCGGCAATCATGGTATTTGTTTTCAAAGTTGGTAATTCTTATTGCATCTTTACTTGATGATTTGTGATTTTTGTCTTAAAATTGGGTAATTTCCTTGATTTTATGTTAAATGTTTACTTTAGTGTACGGAAAAGTGTTAGCCTAACTTCGAAGGAAATAACGAACGAGTAATCCTTTTCGATATGAATTCAAATTTTTAGTTGGACTATTAATTTAGTTATTTTGCTTTTGAATAAACTGAGATCTTCTAAATTATAGCTGATATGGAATATAAACATGATCTTTATTTTTTAAACATGCAACTAAGTATTTGATTAAATTCTGGAGATTATGATGCATTTAGTTTGATTTTTCTTTTCTTAAAGTTTTACATAATTTTTTTTGAAAACATGTTTAAAGATTCTTTTGAGAAACAATCAAAGATATTGGTTTTCGGTTTCTAATAATGTCATTTAGACAACCTATTATGGGTTACTTCGAAAACCATGACGTGATTAGAAAATTTAGTTTTTTGTTTTTGAATGCTATGGATTATATAATATATATTTGACATTGATATATTCGATTTAGTTTGATTAAAGATTTTATTCATTAGTATGTACTTTAATTTTGACTTTTGGTTAAATGTTGATTGTTTTGAATTCAAATTTGGTAAATTAGGAAGTTACGGAGAAAATGCATTTTTAAGGAACTTTTCAGAAACAATCAAAGATTTAAATTTTCGTTTTTATAGCACCATTTATGTAACCTTGTTTTAGGTTCTCTTGGAGAGTGTAGTCCAATTAAAAATTTCAGTTTTGATATTTCATTGTTATAGAAATAAAATTTAAATATCGATATTTATTTTTGAGACCACTTAATTAAAGCAATAAGTCGTTAAAGTGATATCAGTTATGGAACATGTTTTATTTTATATGTACATTTAACTTAGGACGTTTTAGTATTAATCGTTCTAAAGGAAGATTAATAGTTGACATAATCGCATGACAATTATTAATAAACATGTGATAATTATTCGGTTTGATGTGTAAGTAATAAATCAGCCCAAAGGAAGATTTTTGCTTGACATATTTTTATTATCAATGTTTGGTTATCGCACCAGATATCACTTAAGATGAATATTTTGTCTAAAGATAAAATATTAATAAAATATCTAATATCTTGAGTCGAGGTTTAGGTGTATTTAAATTTAGAGAAAATCGCCTCAGTGACCAAAAATGCCTTATAATATACGATTTTAACCAACGTTTTTTGGATTTGCCAAAATGACCAACAAAATCGCAATGCGAAATAAAAATCGCAACGCGATCCCCAGAATCGCAAATCAGTTTCCAGAATCGCAACGCGAATATGAAAATCGCAACGCGAATATATAAATCGCAACGCGATTCTTACTATCGCAACGAGTATCCGTAAAATCGCAACGCGTATCCGTAAATCGCAACGACAATACGTAAAATCGCAACGCGTATCCGTAAATCGCAACGACAATACGTAAAATCGCAACGCGTATCCGTAAATCGCAACGACAATACGTAAAATCGCAACATGTATCCGTAAATCGCAACGATAATCCGTAAATCGCAACGAGAATCTGTAAATCGCAACGATAATCTGTAAATCGCAACGATAATCCGTAAATCGCAACGAGAATCTGTAAATCGCAACACTGAAATTTTGGGTATATAACTACGCAACAGCAGCAAATCGTAAACTAAATCCCTAAATCGCAACTCATTCCATCTCCATCTATCACTCTCTCCGGCGACATCCGTTCCTATATCCAACATCCTTCCCAATCCGGCAACAGGTTTTAGTTTCGCAGCTCGTCTGTTTAGTAAATTAATTTACAACCATGAAATCATCTAATGTTGATCATGTTTGGATAGATTTGTGTTTTGGAGGGTCATGGGAGAATGTTCATGGTGTTTTACAATATATGCCTTTACCCATGAATCTTCAACTAAAATTGTCATTAAAAAAGTTAACTTATGAAACTCTAATGTTACGTGTTTCAAAGAAATTGAATTTAGAGCCCTAAGTGGATTTAGGCTATCTTATCAGAGAAATGGTAAAGTTATTTGTTAACCGACAATGAAGATGTTGAACGATTCATTGCTTACATTAGTGTTTCAAGTGATGATGTTACATTGTATGTTGTTGAACCTAGAAGTAGTATTGTTGGGTCAGTAGCGGGTAGTAATCAACTAAGTTTTTCTCAAAACCCACAACCTTTCTCTAATCCTAATCCCAATCAAACTTTCAGCACCAAATTCCGGTTTTCGTATTGACCAGTTAGACGATGATGAGCCAACAGAAAAATTTGTGAGTACTAGTCAGTATTCGAAATTGATCTTGGTCAATACCCGGACTTTGATATTGGTCAATACTCGGATTTTGATGATGTTTCAGAAGAAGAAACAGACCCTACGTGTAATGATTTTGATATTGGTCAATACCCGAATTTTGATGATGAAACAGCCGTTGTCGAGGAAGATATTGTTGATGATAATGAGGAGGAAGTTACGACTGTGAATGAACATGTTGAACATCCATTATGTAATTCATATAATCCTGAAGAAGAAAAAGAAGAAGAAAAAATCCTGAAGAAAAGAAAATGCCACGGGAGTATAACTGGAATATGCCAGAATTACTTCAGATACCGGAAGAAGAGTTGGTAAAGAAAGCAGTTGATTGTTACACAAAAGTTATTCGTATCAAGAAAGATGATTGTTTTGATACAAAGGAAGACTTAAAGATAGCTTTGTATACGAAATGTGGAAGATGGCTATCAACTAAAAGTTAACAAATCAAGCAAAGATCGTTTCGAAACAAGGTGT